TCCCCTAAGTGTTGAGCGTCAGTCACTTTCCTGGTAACTCACCCCAGCGTCATTCTCCTCAGACAGTAATGATCTGTCGGCGCATTCGCACTGGATTGCGCACCAACAGATGACAAACTGCAAACTGCTGTGATGCACCGTGGGATACTAAAATGATCCGCTATTATGAAAGGAAACTACAGCAACGATCTTGAAAGTGACATAAAACATCAATTACAGGTGAGAAATAAACAATATCAGTCATCATCAGTTCTCGTTATGCCTAGTGGCACATAAAGCTTCTGAGAGGACTTCCCATGCTCTCCTGCCCTGTGCAATATTCAGTGCAGTTTTTCATGTCAAAGATGCCGCACTCAGGTCACTTTCCATCGTTCGTCTCCATGTTATTTTTGGGCGCCCCTGTTTTCTCTTTCCCTCTGGTGTCCAAGTGAGAGCTGTTTTGGCAGGTATATCAGGATTCATTCTCATAAAGTGGCCAGGCCATTTCCTTAAACAATATACTGTGAAATAACAGATTCCGGAAAAAGTCTGAGTGGATACTTTACTCAACACAAACACCCACATACAAATTGCGACTTGACAAGCAGTATATTACTCTGGTTTACACACGTTTTAGTACCTTAAACTGGTAGGCAGCTGCTTACCTGAAAGGAACAACCTGTCACGTTTGTCTATCATAACTGAAGAGGGAGCTTTAGTTCATAATTCTGACTAGGTTATGTGCGCCATATAAACTGGCGGCGCTTTATTAATATCCTACCCCAGATGACATCACCAGACAGTCCAACATTTCAGAGTGGGGTGAGATTAAGTTTTACGTCTTTGTGGTGCTTTTAACGACCCCAAAACACCTAGAACTGGCCCTAACCCCAACACTCCTACGTCCCAGAAGAGAGTGCAGCCTAGTTCCTATGACTTCATGCAGCCTAGGTCCCACGATTTAATACAGCCTGTCTACCACCCCCTAAAACCTACACTGTGGATTGTCCCTGTTAAAGGTGAGATATTAATAAAACACCAAAATGGCTTTGCGTGCCATCAAGAATCCTAAAAATGACGCCTGGAGATGTGACAAAATGAGACAGACCCAGCTGCGCCTTAAATTGCATAGCTGTTCTTTGGTCATTAATTTCGTGCTGCTGAAGATACTGAATACCCGTAAATTGAGATAATGTTGCAGCGGTGCTTGTCTATGGGCTTTGAACGACACCGGAATCTCGGGTGAAAGCAAGACGAAGAGTTTAACAGATGACTGGGCTACAGTGTTTCCGAGGAAAACAGACTTGCACGGAGTGATAGTTACATTTTACCGAGGGTGCCTGGAACGAAGAGCCTCTTGTTAAATATCACTATATCCAGTGTGAGAATGGACGTGGAAGTGGGGGCAATCACTACAGTTTTCCCATGGCCTGAGAATTGCCCAGAACGACATGATGTGATTCTAAGGCTCACACAGCATGCTTCAGAAAACTGAAACGTGTCCTGCAAGCAGAGTTGCTTCTTGATACAACCCAGAACAAAAGCATGTCATGGATTTTTGTCTAGATGTGGAAGATAAAGAGCAAGTTGCAAGACTGGCTGCTGCCACTTCTCAGGGCCCTAAACTACTATATGATAAAACTAATGTCGTGAAGGCTTTAAGGAAACAAATGGACAGTGCAAAAGAACTACTAGGAAACCCATTCACTGAAGGACTAATTTAACCCGGACTGTATAGAGGTTCTAGAAGATATCCAACACTAAAGGTAAAACAGAGGCGGACTTTTAATCACGTTGCAATTGGTACTATATGTATGTCAACTCCACGTTGGTTCTTGAATAGGGGAAAAAGCACATGTGGAAATGTCCCGATTGCAGTGATTCTATTCATTCATTCATTCATTCATTCATTCATTCATTCATGACAGCAGCTACCATGATTCCGTATGCTCTTCGCTGGCTGTTGTGGAGGGACGCAGGGCTTATATAAACAATTCCTGAATGATGCGATGTTGAATCTTTACCCAGATGAACCTAGATTTAGGCTGATGATTCTAAAAAAAAAAAAAAAAAATGTCCGTCATATTCAGTTAAAAAATGGATTCACTTATTTGCTTCAAATATGTCAGGCAATAAATTGTGCAGTCTATTGTTTGTGTCTTCTTTCTTCAAATCAGTCAAATTTCTCCTGTTAGCTCTAGATTTTGAGACAACAATGAATGACCCTTTTAACAGGACAATTATTATTCAGAATCCTCGGATCAGATGAAGTTAGTAGCATTTTGACCTCTGTTTGCATTAATATTATCTGTATTTATTGGGTATTTATTACCCTACATATAAAACAAACATGTAAAAAGTATTCAAACGAAATCACTAACTTTTGTTTATCAGTAGTCAACAACGACAACAACAAACAACATTTTTTCGAGGATATTTTGGAATGTGATATGCCCGGACAGTTACGCTGTAATCTGCCATTATTTGGGCATCCCAAAGTCCCTGGATCTCTCTTCCTTTGTTATTTATATCCTTGTGAAATCTTTACTTTGCTCCACACTAAAGTCAGCAAGACTCTCCGGAGAGAAATCCTAGTTGTTATAAAGGTCATCATGTGTTTAATTTGTACCAAACTTTCTGGTGAGCTATAAAACAGACACTCATTTGAATTAGTAAGAAACATGCTTTTGATGATTGTTGGAAGCTCGGAGGCAAAATCAGAATACAATTTCACTACCTCCATAATTCTTTTTTTTTTTTTTAAGTATCCAGAAGCCATGAGTTGTTAACCCTTAGGGTCGGTATTATGGATATCGCACCACGTCGGCCTTGATTCCATGATAAATACAGCAAATCTGGGAAAATGTGGCTTTTCTGCCTTCCCCCGAGTGTGAAACCGGACCACAAGGAGCTCGTCACCCAGTCATCGCGTAGTCCGGTTTAGACAACCCAGCTAGAGAGCCGGGCTATCTCCATAATTAAGTACATTTTGTTGCTGATATTCTTGGTACTTTAGTGAGAAGCTCGAGATGATATATTTTATGAAGATTATAAAACAGTTGACTTTCGGATGACAAAATTATGCAGATTACTATGTGACCCTGAAGTACGACTTTCGAGCATATCGCATTTCAGGAGGAAGTTGCCGTGGCGAATCGGAAGGTCGTGGGTTCGCGTCCTGACAAAGCCAGACTTTTTTTCTTTTTTTTTTTAGAAATGACCTTGGCTCCTAGGTTGACCCAGCCTAAAGTGTACTAGGTGCAATCCTGGGAGAAAACACTGGCGTGATGCTGACGACCACATCACTCACCAAGTGCCGATCGGTTTCTGTTTGTTGTTGTTGTTTCTTGGTGTTATTACTAATAATAATATTGTTACCTTGCCGTCTTAATTAGACGAAGACGTATCAACACCTCCCAGAAATGACGCAATGAGACCTGAGGCCATAACTGATGTATTGTGCTTACTTTTGCTCTTCTATGATAATTCTCACACAAGTAGGTGTCGTGTGCTTGTAATAATTTTAAATGATTTTTTTTTTCTTTAAGGAGAATGTACTTTTTTTTTTTAATTTGTAATGCGATATTGCGACATTTGGTGGGTGTCACACTGGTAAGTAATCCGTCTTCACGAGCAAAATTTAAATGCATATACGTCTAATGTCCCTCTTATTTAGTAAAAGAATACACTGCAACACACAATCCACAAACAAATGAAGTTTTACAGCCTCATTTCAATTCTGGGGATGTTGTGTTTTTTTTTGTGATTAGTGATCATGACAATTTGCAACGCACCCTTCATATCTTCTCAAAAATTTTTTTTTCTTAGTAATATATTTGGTCCCTATGGTATTTTATTCATTCCCCTTGTCAGTGGTTTTGATGTAAGAAGTTGACCTGTCTCTGTCAAGGTTTGGGTTTGACGCAAATGCTCCACTCCACTGATCCGCACGGCTTGGTTTCCAAAGCGGTCTCCATTGGAGGTATTTGGGAGCAGCGCGTCCACATCACTGCTAAAAATTAGAGAATTCGGAATAACGTTTAGCACAACCAACCTTGAGAGGCCCACCGCCCTTTCTAGAACTTTGCTAGCCAGCACTGGCAAAAATAACGTCAGGACGTAAACGTGTTTGGTAAAGGTGTAATCTGAGCATCTATGGGTGTGTTCGGAGTGTCGTGAAGATAACACAACTCATAACGTATGTTTCAGCTTGGTATCCACTTGATTGATACCTGACCAGACCCGTGAGCTCTCTACCTTATAGATGTCTCTACTAAAATGCCTCTGGACTCACAAACATACATCTGCAGTTTCATGGCTTATGAAAGAAGGTGTGGTCATCATCAATTGTGATGGGCGAACGGACGAACGAACTAAAATGCATGTTTGTAACGCATGTTCACTATTCTGGGGTGCCCGTCCAGATGGAGAACTTTCAGTACCTGTATACCTCTGAGTATTCATAACAGTCTTGTTCAAAAAAGAATTAAAATCCCCTTACATCTTAGGTATGGTGCTTATTACCGGGATTTGTTTATTTTAAATAACGCGGTGTCCGAAAATAGGGATTAAGTAGTGGACTGTCTCAGATTCATTAGGAAACAATTTGTGTCTGTGAGATGACAATCTATAGAAAGATTATGAAAATGCCGTAGAAGAGAAGAAAAGAAAAATATCGGCGTTTTAAAAAGATCTGAACCTAATGGAAACTGGTTCGTAAACTACTCCTTGTCTTGGGAACGGAAATGTTTTCACCATATCAAGCGCCGGTTGCAGTAGAAAGTACGCAGCTGAGGAGTATGAAGATGAGAAAATCACTTATATGGTATCTATTTACTCGAACAAAAACAAAAACGTGAAGAATGTTCCCAGCTTCTTTCTGGTATGCTGTGATGGCAACGACACTCTGTAAAGATGATGATGAAGACTGTGTGAAGAACAATTCTAAGTATGTAGCCAAGCGTCCTTATGTTGATCTGTAAAGATGTGTTGTCCCGTATGCTGTTTACTGCATTCACCAGGCTGTCCTACTGGCTGGTTTGGATTTCAATGTAAATACAAATGCAGATGTACTAATGGCGTCTGCGATGCCGACGGCGAGTGTACAGGCGGACACACTTGTCAGGTCGAGTGGTTCGGCCCCGCTTGTCAGTACGGTAGGTGATGGCATATTTTGTGTCGTCTGTATTTAGCAGTACACACCAGTTAGACCTGTATCTGAACGTTACCTGCCACACTGCATGGAGCATACCTTTCCTTCCCTTTCTCAACATACTCTATGAATCATTTATGATTAAAGCAAGGAGCGGCTCGTCGAACGGTTAGAACGCTAGGCTTTCAGGGCCCGAAAGTTCGAACACTAGCTATGGCTAGGGTTTTTCTCTGTCAGGGGCAAAAAAAAAATACTCGCCTGCACGGTCGTGGCAACAGAGCAAGCCATGCGGCCGTACATCTTCAGGCTTAAAGAACAGCCCCCCCCCCCCCCCTTTTTTTTTGTGCACCGGAAAATGATATAATACAGGCAGTAATTAGCGGTTTGGCAGTCAGTTTTTGTAATTAAAAGTCGGCGTCTCTGACTCAGGCATTGGTAACGCGTTTCGTAATGCCGGGGAGCCGAGTTCGATGCCAGCTACAGGGTATTTGGCTTTTTGTCCTAAAGATGAATCGAACAGCGATACGTGGAGCTGACCGTCAAATGAAACGGAACGTAGCATTTGCCTTAAAAAAAAACCTACAACTGCCACACACACACACAAACACACACACACACACAGAGTTGGGGTTGGTTCTGAAACGTCTTGTAAAGGATACGAAACTAACTTTTATAACTAAGACATGTACAATCTAACATGCATATATAGATTTTAATGTGGAAAGTGTCAGTTTTTTACAACTGTACCGTGAATATGAAATCCAGACACTCCTGTTGAAACAACAAAATGACAGTAACAGTAGCAGTAGCAAAGACCGGTCTGAGACCAGACATGACCCTCCACTCTGGTGAAAAACGCCAGCTCACCTGATAGAGCTGACCGTGCCGCACGAGTCGCGGATGGAGAAAAAATCACTTTTACCAACTCGAAAAGTACGGTGAGGTGGTGGTCGGTCTGAGGAGAGATGAAGCGTACTCAGTAATAGTCTTCGCCGTCGATGTACTCATCTTTACTTCCACATTCAATGTACTATTTCTTCTTTCCATGTCTGCTTACAGCCGATCTAGCTTACGGCTCAGTAAGCGATGCAGCTGTAGTAGACGGTAATGACAACACATGCCTTCGTGGACAGAAAACAAAAGTTACGGTCAAGTTGACTGATTCATTTCCATTTACCTGGCTCAGAGTCAAAGTTACAAACCAGGGTATGTATGCATGGAAGCATACATGTATGTATGTGTGTATTATGTATGCATGTTAAATGTATGTATGTGTGTGTATGTATGTATGTATGTATGTATGTATGTATGTATGTATGTATGTATGTATGTATGTATGTATGTATGTATGTATGTTTGCATCTATGAGTTTATGTGCATATTATGCATGTATGTGTGCATGCTTGTAGACTAGTATAAATGAATGTACATATGTATGGATATATGCATATGCGAGTGT